CCTCAGAGAGAATAGTAGGTTCTCCATGGAAACAGAAGTGTCTGTTTGCTTCAGGATGCCACCAAAGAGGAAAATTGTAAATCACTTTCCAGGCAGGAGGCAGGATGATTTCCCCAGCTTTGACAGCTAAATTTGAAAAACACTTCTATCACTCTCCACAGACTCTGAGCCTCCCACCTAGGCCAGGTGCAATGCAGAAAAAATAAAAAGCAGCCACAGACACACTATTTTACCTTACACTTTACTTATAGACAAACAGTCTGTCAGAATCATTTTGCCACCCACCCACCCACCCCCATTCCTAACTGCAAAGAAGAAAGGGGGGGGGCAAAAACCAGCTCAATAGACAGAGAAGTTAGGGCAAAGCTTGCTTACCTGCTGTGGCACCAGGAAGGGTCTGTCATCCAGACCCAGAACCTAGAAGCAGAGAGACTTGAGTCTGAAAGTCTGTGACTCCTGTGTCACGCTGGAAGGCCTGGGAAAGCTTTGCAGCTACTGACCTGCATGTCTGGGAATGAGAAGTAATTTTTTCCTGCTCTCATGGGCAGTGACAAGAATGTAAATTGAGTGTGTGTGTGTGTGTGTACATATGTGGGTGTGTGTATGTATGTATGTGTGTGCATGTATATATGTGTGTGTATTTGTGAGTATGTGTGCATGTATTTGTATACATATGTGTGTGTATGTGTGTGCATTTGTGTGTGTATGTATGTGTGTATATATGTGTGTATGTATGTGTTTATGTGTGTAGTATGTGTATGTATGTATGTATGTGTGTGCTTATGTGTGTGTATGCATGTATGCGTGTGTGTGTGTGTGTGTGTGTGTGTGTGTGTGTGTGTGTGTGTGTATGGAATCGATGTAAGAACTTGGCAAAGGATTATGTGCCTATCAAGCCTGAGTAAAACCCCTTCCTTCTCTCTCCACTTCCGGTACTACACAGACATCCTTGATCCCTCAATTCCTCTTTTTGGGGTTCCAATTACCTGCAGTCAGCTGCAGTTTAACATCATCGAGGGGATCCCAGAAGGGTTGGATTCTTATCGTTTTAAACTGTGTGCCACTCTTAGTAGGACGGAGAAACTTCCGAGGTGAATCACCATCGTTCCAGTGTTTCCTTGCCGTATGTACTGCCCAGCCGTTAGCACTCAGCAATCAGAGCAACTGCCCTGCAGAGCCTGCATCCAAGGAATCCGTATCCTAGCTGATAATAGCTCAAGGCACAGAAGCAGTGGCGCTGATGATTATGATGTGACAAAGAAACACAGTAAGACATGTACTTGGAAATCCTTTCTCATGGATATGTTTGAATGCACAGGAAACTCCGTATATACAGAGTCGGTTGTTTCAGGCATCACGGGAGATAAGTCAGGATGTAGGTGCCTGAAACAGGACGCATCAGTTTCCTCCCAGGTATTCTGACTCTGAAACTGTGGGTGTCTGGAAGCCAGGACTACTCACTTGCCTTCTTGTCTACCAGATCTCTCTCTTCTGAAAAGTCAGTCAGGTAGCAGCCACTGCTCCCACATGTTGTGTGCCATACCTACATGACCCCCTCCACTGAGCCCACATTTCTGCAGTCACGTCCCATACCTGTATACCCCTCCCCACGACCTGATTTTGCAAAGTCAGGCTTGGAGGAGTAACCTGATGTTACACCCATTGTGTGACTCGGAGGTGCCAACTTCCCCCCAAATGGGACTGAACTCAAACATACAAAAACAGTTTGTATGCAAATCCAGTGAATGTGTGTGTGTGCGTGTTCGTGGCCTATTTAAGGCAGAAACCCTTTCTTCCCAGAGCTGAAGTCCAGCTGACTTGAGGTTCCTCATTCCTTGCTGTGATTACATGGCACAAGTTTACAAGATTACAAGTTCCAGTTTCTCCATTGTCCTTCATCCCTTCCCAGATCCGTGTCTGTGCCGTAGGAATCTGACTCCAGTGAATGACATCTCCCAGACTCCTTTGCTGTATGACTGCTTCTAGTTGGGCACAGTAAGTATTTTAGCTGTGGGAAGGTCATTCTCCCCCATTCCATGACTGCAGTAGTTCTGGTTTCTGGGACCTGCCTGGAGATAAGACCTTCATGCCCTGCCCTATAGAGTTCCTCAAACCCTGCTTCTTCCCCTGATCATTCCAGTAACTACTGCCTTGCTAGCTTTAAGAAACCTTAGGTCTTCTTCTCTTTTTTGATTATGCACCTGTAATGAATCACACCAAAACGTAAAGGCTAATGGTCATAATCAGCTTTTTGCTCCCATCATATGTGTTGATTATTTGAGCTGGACTCAGCTTCCATTTCTGCTTAAAGTGGCACGGACTGATTGGGCTTATCCTAAGCTCTGCAATAGATCAATGTCATCTGGTGCCGGCTGGTGCTGCCCTTGGGCAGATCTTTCTCTTCAAGGGTCCTCAGGTGGGCGGGTGCAGACTCCATCACATGACATCAAAAGCATCCCAGAGAGTGAGAGCAGGGGTTCAATGCTCCTAGCACCCATCCCAAACCACATTCGCCACAATCTGTTGGTCAGAATGAGCCACAAAGATATGTAAGATTAAAAAGGAAGTCAGAAAATAAATTATCTAGATGGCAATAATTTTGGAGAAGGATACACAATAGTCATGCAGAAATCTGTAAACGATTGAGTAACCCACAACCCAGCCATCCCTGGGAGAAAAGCCTTTGTTTTTTTTTTCTTTCTAGAACTCCTCTTTCATGTGCCTTCTGCTTCCTACTGAGACCTTGACAGGCATAGTGCATAACACTATTTATGATTTTATTCTGCCATGTCTTTTTGAGACAGCTCTGAATTACATTAGTGCTACTTCATCTAGCAAACTCTTTGCACAGATTTGTTTGTCCTTTCTCCTGTGGATGGGCATTTAATTCAGCCTGTACGATTTGGGGGTTACAAATACTGCGTTCCTTCCTTTGCACAGGAGTGTTCCTCGGGGAGCATAACTGGGAGGAAAGTGGCTGTAGTGTAATATTGCCAAATTTCTTTCCAAAGTCAATATAGTCTTTCAGAGAACAAATAGAATTTGAGAGCTGAACACAGTTGAAAAACTGGCTCTACCTTACATTATACAAGCATGTGTGTTTAAAGAGCTATACCAATATATGATTGGAATGAAGCTCCCACCCAATACAAAGATCTTTTAAGCACTGTTCCCAGGAGATGGGCAAACAACCCATTCTTGAACTTTTGAAGTCCACAGGGAAGTTTCATTTGTTCTCACTGATTCCCTCCGCAGAGCAAAAACACACCGGGGGGGAAGCATAATCCCTGCCTTTGCCAGAAGCTGCCCCAGTCCCCCTGGAATGGGTGGGGACAGGGAGAGGGCACACGAGCTAAGGGAGTCGAGTGTTCCCGGGTGCCAGCAGACAGTTCTGCTCCACGAAGGCATCTGTGCTCTCTTCTGTGACGAGGGCAGACATTGTAGGACATGAGGCCAAAAAGGAGCACATTCAGTTTCAATCTGGAGTGTCCAAAACCACGGCTGGAAATGGAATAGGCGTGAGGGCCCTGAGAGTCTATTCCGATGCCCGCAATGATTGGGCACTTCAAAGGGAGAAGCAGCTTTTTTCACTGTCTAAGACCAGAATCTGGAATAAGACAGGCAGCCCAGGCTCGCATGCTGCCAACCTCTTGGAGCATTTGTTTTGCTTTCTGAGGGACAAGGATTATCAGATCACCTACACAGGTGCAATTAGACCCCTGTCTTAGTTCGAGAAGGAAGGACTAGGGCACAGTCACAATCAAACCAAAGTAAAGTGTAAATAGCTCAACATTCAACTCCAGGGGTGCGTGCACGACATCTGGTCTCCTCCAAGGGCCTTGTTGCTTCTCCATCCCTGCCTCCTGCAGTACACACAGCTTATCTTCCAGACTCTGACAGGCTCAACTCCACCACAGCTGCTCTTCTTTGCAGTCATGCCGCTGGCACCTCCAACACTGCTGGGGTCTTGTGCTGTGAGTGGCACATTCACTGGTAGCATCTCATAGGCTCTCTTCCTGGTGCCCAGCCTCAGCTGCTCCTCAGGACCCATTCATTTCCAAGCCGCCAACAGCCAGTGAGGCTGCACCCTCACCACTGACCTCTCTTGACCTCTCACCAAGCCTCAGCTGCTCTCCATCACCCCTTCATCTCTTCAGAACCTGTACCACCTGGGTGACTTGCACTACCAAGTTTGGCTGCCGGTACAAGGTTCAACCTTGGCTGCCTTGTGGAACATCGCTTCTAAGCTCTAAGTCTCAAAAGACACTTCCTAGAATATTTACCTCAATAATGCTGGTCTTTTCTTGGTCACTGCTAGTTTCCTAGCTCCAGAGGACAGTGTCACGTATCCTAGCAGAGCAAAAGGCTGCGCTTTAGTAGTTCCGGTATCTTGTTAATCGCGGCTGATTCTCCAGCCCCAGCTAACCAGAACCACAGGATCTTAATTCAAAATAACAAATGGCCCTGATGGATTCTTTAAACTTCCCTCTGAAACTTCACAAGTCAGGCCTCTGTCTTCTGCATTGCCCTCAACACTCTTGTATTCCAATCTCTTACAGGACAATGAACCCTCAATGACTTTTCTTGCCCAAAGTCCTTCTGCAATCCTCTCCAATGCAACATGGTATGTCTGTCACAGCAATACTCTGGTCCTGGTACCATCTTGTCTTAATTAGGGTTTCTACTGCTACAATGAAAGACCAAGACTAAAAAGGCAAGTTGGGGAGGAAATGGTTTATTTGGCTTACGCTTCCATGTTGTAGTCCTTTTTTGAAGAAAATCAGGACAGGGACTCAAACAGAGTCAGAACCTGGAGGCAGGAGCTAATGCAGAGACCATGGAGGGGTGCTGCTTACTGGCTTGCTCCCCATGGCTTACTCAGCCTGCTTTCTTGTAGAACCCAGTACCACTTCCCCAGTGATGGCCCCACCCACAATGGGCTAGACCCTCCCTCCCCATTAATCACTAACTAAAAAAAAAAAATCCCTTACAGGCCTACCTACAACCTGATCTATGGATGCATTTTCTTAATTGTGATTCCCAGTAACTCTAGCTTATATAAAGTTGACACAAAACTATCGAACACACTCTCCTTAAAGAGCTAATGTCTGACCCATGGTGTGTGCTCAGCAAACGCTAGCATTGAAGAACTACTGGCAAGACGTAGTAATGACAGAAGTTGAGATTCATTAAGCTGTGATAGTTGAGGGATCCTTCATGTATAAAATATAACAGTGTTTTATTTTTTATTCACATAACAGTCCAAGCTATGCGCCTTTGCCGGGAGACAGTCCTCTTTCACATGGGGACTTACGGCTTCAGCCAGACCCACACTAACCTGGGGCTTCGTTTGCTCTTTATCCTGCCTCCTGTAGGATGTTACCACAGGGCTCCTGTTTGCATTCTAATGGTGGGAACCACACCTAGCCACAAAGGATTCTGGAAGACATCTCTTGCTACCAGGGCTTCTCAATGCCTGCATTATTGGTACTGCAGGACAGGTCATTTCTTGTCTGGCTGCTTTGTGTACTTGGCAAGATGTTTGGTGGCCCTTCAACTTCTGCTTACTCCAGGCCGAGTGTCCCTTACCTAAGCTATTTGGGAATGTAAGTGTCTCAGATCTCAGACTGGTTTTAGATTTAGGAGTGTTTTCATCCAATGAAATAGTTCAAGAGAGAGGATGAAAGTGTGAGCAGCAAATATATACATATATATAGTGTGTGTATACATGCATATATGTGCATATATACACATATATAAATCATAGGTGCCTTGTATTCATGGCCTGAAGATAACCTTATGTAACATCTTAATAGTTGTTCAGTGTTTCATGGCAAGGAATCTTCCACTCATGAGATCATGTCAGCATACAAAAAGTTACCAATTTTAGAGCAGTTAGGGTTTCACGTTCTAAAGAGATTGGGGATCCCTAACCCATAATATCTGTGGTAACTTACACACACACACACACACACACACACACTACTAAGTTGTGACCAAAAAGAAAAAGTCTCCAGACCAGTCTTTTAAAGGAGCTAAATCTTCCCTGAGTAAGAACAGATCAAACGCTACACACCAAGGAAAGGGAGGAGAAATTCCAGGAGGCGGCTTAGCCTCCAGGGTGAGGTGAAATCCAAGCCAAGAGCTCCGTTCTATACTTGGTCCCTGCACGACATGAGCCACCTGAACTTTGATACATTCTGTTTTCTGCAGAGCGCCTAGCATTTCACCTCGAGCAGCTCCTAACGTACAGAAAGTACTGACAACATAAATCACTGCTGGCTGGCTGAGTCTGCTCCGTAGACAAGGCTAACAGCATTCAGCTACCCCTGCAGGGCTTTCCATGCACCCGGCACTGGCCTGAGAGATGACGCCTTCTTTCCTTGTGGCAGGATATAATAATAAGACCAATAATAGTGGCGGCAATGGCAACAGAAGTCCAGACGCACTGAAGGCAGGGAGTTGCTCCCCTCCCCTCCCCAGAGCTCCTGGTATGTAAAGTAAGACTATAGAGCAGGGCTGCGGTTCCTGTGGCTGCCAATTTAATCTTCCTTAAGGGCCTCGTGCTACCTGCGTGTTGCAAATGCCCCTGCCATGCCTGACATCAAGCCATTACACTCTCTGAAAGGAGACCTGATTATGCCACAGGGCACAGCTGACACTTTTTCATTTGCTGAGTGAGGCTCCATGGGGATTTAATGTCCCCCCTCCCTCCTGATGTCCCCATCCCCTCTTCTGAGTATCTCACTCACTCCTGGCTCTGCCGTTTCTGTCACCATTACAGGGCAGGAGATGCGGCAGCATCACGGTTGCCATGGACGAGTCTAACGGCGATATTGATTTCTTGGTTGCATCGGCTCCAAAAGTGCCAGAAGGAATGGGCCCCTACAGGTCTGAAAAGATAAAAACAGAGGAAACGTAAATGTGCTTTTTTTTCTTTCAGGAAATAACTGCAAACAAATTAGCACTTGTCCAGATTCCCATGCACTTGCTGCAAAAGAGCTCACGAGGGCAAGCATAGACACCCAGGATGCATGATGTACAATGCAGATAAAACCACATGCCAGCATTCATTCCCAAGAAGGAGCCCAGAAACAAGCACTCATGCAAGACCAAGAAAGTGGCAGATAGACTCTCCGTGATGATAACATACTTCCTGGGTGAGCAATATTGAGATCTTTACACCACAAATTCCCTACTGGCAGCATGGAGCTTAAAACACCTTCCCCATAGGATGGTTGTGAAGAGTGAATGAGATGTGAAAAAACAAACAAATACACCTGGTGGACCCTCTGCCACACGTTAAAGCTCCTGTTGACCCTCCCTTAACATTGCGGGGCAGAAAGACCTGCTTACAAAGCAGCAGGCTTAGCGCGGAATCTGACAGGATGGAGTGAAGACTGGGAAATCAGATCAACCCTCTGTATTGGAAGAAAGAAGAGCAAGCTGTCTACAAACTCCTCTCTGACACAAAGAGCCAAGAGCGTCAGGAGTCAGCATGAGATACCAGGCTCACCCAAAGCCTGTTGTCTATCCCTTCTGCATAAACCCAAAGTCAGCATGGCCGTCAAAACGCCCATTCCACCAAGAGACAAGCCAAGGGATTAAAGCGGAAATGTAAACAGGCAGATTAATTGATATGGGCCTCTTAAAATCACAGCCAGACTTCAGTTGCCAGAGCAACCAGAGAACTGGTAAAAGGAGGGCCGTGTGACCAAATTTTAGTATCTACATCCTCACACTAGTGGGAAAAGCACGTTCATTCGGTGTCTTCATTTCCAAGACATTGGTGATTGTGAGAAATGCTTCTGCTTCTTTGCAACTTTTGCTATAAGGCCAGTGGTTCTCAACGTTCCTAACGCTGCACCCTTTAATACAGTTCCTCATGTTGTGACCATCCCTGCGAAGAATAAAATTATGTGGGTTGCTGCTTCATATCTATAATTTTGCTACTGTTATGAATTCTAATGTAAATATCTGTGACTTCTGATGGTCTTGGGTGACCCCTGTGAAAGGGTCATTTCAACCCCAAAGGGGTCATAACCTACAGGTTAAAAATTACTGTGCTAGGCACGGATTAAGCACATTCAGGAGATGGGAGGACAAATACAGATTAATGGGTCAGCAACTTTAGCAGCTGTTGAAAAGTGTTTGATGATGAACCTATGGATGTTTTGAGAAGCCCAGATGCAAACCGTGTCCTTTCTGACTGGCCAGGGACATCCCCATTGGCCATCTTGGACCTTTTCCACTGAAGTAGAGGACAGTGGACCGAGAACAGTCCAGTCATAGCAATTAAGAGCATTCCTCTACAGTCGGAACTTCAGGAGATGCGGACTCACACTGACTTAATTTCAAGAAACAGATTTCTGGTGTGAGCAAATAAGTATAAAGTCAGAGTTAGAGATGAGCACAGTTCATTCCACACACACTCCATTAGCTTCTGCGTGGGTCAGCCCTTATATTAGGAACTGGCTTCATGGCCAGTAACTCGGTGGAAAAAAAGGACATTGGTTTTTTTTTTTAATTTCAACTTAGTCACAGATATTCAGAAATGTAAATAGACCTCCCATGTAGGAGAAGCAAGTCCAGTGAGAATAAAGGATTGAGATGTGTCTACAGGATGAGTAGGCACGAGCTTAGCGAAGGCTGCTAAATGGGTAAATAAATCAATGGGTACAAATCAGGGACCTTGGAGCACAAGGGACACCAAATGAAGTAGCAAAGAGCTATGTAAGACCTGCACAGTTGCCAGCAAGTAAGCAGCAGGCAATGGTTTGCATGCGCTAAAGTATCTGGGTAGTCGTAGATGTAAGGACAGTGGTGAGAGCAGTATGGTGATTGGCGGTTCGCAGGCGATTGCTATGCACTTGACACAGTTCAAAGGGCTGTGAGTGCATGTAGTCTTTCAATGCACAGCACAGCCTTATCAGCTCAATAGTACAGATGAGAAAACTGAGCCATAATAAAGACAAGAATCACTCCAAACTCACACAAGTGACAGAGCCAGGATCTGCTCCGTCCCCCCACCAGCTGCAGCTTGCAGAGGGGGCTTTCTGGGTGACAGGGAAGCTCTAGACTCAGTCTTGCATGCAAGGAAGATGTTGGGGATTAAAAAAAAAAAAAGACCACGAACTTGAGGCTTTTGAACATGACCCAGTTGGTAAAGAAAGATGGGCCTGGGCAGATGTCTCAGCATCTGCAATGACCATGGTACAGTCTGGACCTCAGGCAGAAAAGGAGATAGGAACAGGCCATGGGTCCTGAACGATGCAGAGGTGAAGACAGGTTACTCTTTGAGAGGTCATCCGGGACCTGATGGGCAAAGTCACTTTGTATAGACAAGCATGGCAGCTAGAAGGGACAGATGTGTCTGTGCTCTGGAGTCCAGAACCTAAGATCTTCTCAAGGACCAGACATGGTTGCCCCGAATTGCTAAAAATGGTAAGGGCGAAACCCTGCACACATGGTGGGAAGTTCCCAAGTGCCTGTCAGCTGGTAAGAGGAGTACCTAACCCCTCAGAGGGGGAAGGCTCCTGCAAGAGAATAGACTGAAGGGCCCAAGAGATGTCTTTCTCCACTTTGATTTTCTCACTTTCAAACTCACACGCGAAAGTACCTGCACACTGGCCTATGTGAAAAGGCCTGGGAAAGCCCCTGGACCATGGAAAAAGTGAAGGATGAATGGGGGAAAGCACCTGGACTTAACCCAGTCTGGTGTTGGCCATCTGCATGCCTGTCACGCCATGTCCTTCTGGGAAGACTACAGCTCCCAGCCTCCCTGGCTTGGGGATCCTGTAATTATGTTGAGGCCAATGACGTGTGGTCAAAGACGGATCTCCTTCCAATCTTAGCGCTGTAAAGAAGCCCGTGACTCAGTGACCTGTCTTTTCTCTCCCATGAAAACATTGGGAGGCCTTGGGCTTCAAGTGTTAAGTTGCATGATGGGGGCTTCCCAGATCCCTAAGGACTCCAATGTGGTAAACAGGCGACAGTTGCTATGCTAACCCACTGAAACCCCGGGGTCTGACTTTTCTTGCAACCAGATGTGGCTCTCAGGCATTGCTAAAAGCCTGGCTCATAGAAAGGCAGCATCAGCCTCACCTAAGAACGTGTCTGACACACAGGTTCTCAAGCCCTACCCAAAGCTGCAGAAACAGAAACCACACATAGGGTCAGCAGTGCCTTCAAATGACCGGTGAGGCCAAAACAAGGCCTCCAGTAGCTTAAGATGAGCCTCAGTTTCCTCTTCTATCTGCTGGAAACAAGGCTGTCACCCTATGCAGCATCTGTGGGTGACTGAACAGCACTACGTGGTGTGATACAAGTGAAGAACCTAGCTGGTAGCCAAAAGTCAGAGATCAGTCACTCTTAATTCCTATTGAGTCTTCAGTCAGGATCTTGGAGCCGTGGGTCACAGGACTGTCAAAAAAGTAGTAGACAGGATAACATACCTGTCTGTGGGCAGTCGGATACCTCAGGGCTTCCTGCCCTTGTCTAATCTCCTCCACCTGAGTGTGGGGCAATCCTTAATGCATTCCCAGAGAATGGAATGTGTAAGGCCACGTTCCCGTTGGAGCTTCTGAGGGAGAAGTCTTTGTCTCTCTCAGTGCCTGGAAGAGCCATAGTACTCCTTGACCTGTGACCACATCGTTCTAGCCTCTGGCTTGCTCTTGCCCCTCCTTCTTCTCTTTTGTAATGGCATGTGTCCCCAGTTATGCCACCATTACAATCCAGGGTGACCTCATCTCAAGAGCCCTAATTACAACTGCAAAAGTCTTATTCACAATGGTGCTGATTTCTAGAATGTAGACAATCCTTGCAGAGTGTCACTATTTGACCCAATAAAGGGTCCAAAGCCAGAGATGGGCCATACTCAGGTTCATCTAACCCTGACCAAGGCAACTCCTCCCATGCATAACACAGTGTAGGGATTTGACATGAGATTTTTGAATAGAAAGTCAGTAGTGTGTAACGGTTAAGCCACGGGGCTTTAGAATTAGCTAAGCCCAATTCAGACTTCAACCACTTACAAATGTGTGACGTTAGGCAAATGACTCAACCTCTCTGAACCTCATCCCTATCTCATGGGGATTTACAGGGGCTCAGCTCTGAGTACAAAGCACCTACTCAGTGCCTGGGACTCAGTGGGGCTGCATATTGTGACACACAACCAAGGCTCGAAAGACCCAGCATAATAGCCTGCATTTCTGTGGCTAGCCTTGACCCCCATTGCCTCCCAAAGATCTGGTCACCTTGGGGGAGCCTTCCCCTGCTCAGAGAGGACGAAGGTAGGGGGATCCCCTAGTGCTTGGAAAGGCCCTTCTCTGAGGCAGTTGCAGCAGAAGGACCACAATCCGCTGCCTGCCTTCTCTCCTCCTTTCTGTGCTCCCAGAACACGACTGCCTGCAAACTTGCCTAGCAAGTTGTCATCCCGGCATTCGGACCTCCTGCCAGCCTCATCATGGAAACAGAAACATCTTCATTCACATTCTTCTCCATATAGGACAGAGTCATATGACACTCGTGAAAATACTCCCAGCCAGGTGGGGGCTGAGCACATTGCTGCATGGCCTAGAATGTTCTAGACACAGGGGACAGGAGAAGCTTAAGTCACACAGCTTGGGAACTGGCCTCAAGGCTGCTAGAGATTTGTGGGACTTGTTGGGAAGGGTGGGGGCAAGGGTCACTCCATCAAGCATGGTTCTTGCCCATGAACTTTGCAGATGTCACTTTGCAAGGTCAGAGGTGGGACATACCTATGAGGATAAATGAAGGTGGAAGGAATAATGTGTAATACTAGGCTTCTCAGGACCTTGAGGCACAGACTGGATGAAAATACTTGCAGCACTAACAACTAGTGTTAGCATACATAACATAAAAACCTCTTACA